ATTTCCGTTTCAAAGCTCTCAATACGTCAATAACTTTGGGGTCTGAGGGTTTGCTAACACGAGCTTCTCCGTTCTGGAAGGTTTGGGCTTCGTCCACCGAGAGCCACACCTTTACCCCCGCGCGTGCACCCGCCATAGCCAAGATGATAGACTTGATGATGGGATCACCCCCAAATGCACCTGCACCCCACAAGGGTGAAGCGATATCTGTTATATCACGCGTGGAAAGAGCATAGAAGCCCGTATAAGCCTTTGTTAGCTCTCGGATGAGATTTTGCTGGGACAAGTCAAGCAACGGGACGAGCGGATCCTTGTGGTCGAGCTCTAGGGCGTCGAGAAGAAGAAATGTATACTCCCTGTCTGTTTCCACATATTCCGTTGCGTGAGCATCCCTGCCCCGTCCCTTCCATGCACTGAGCGGCCTGATCCTCTGCGCCAATAATACTGCATCATCGGGTACAGGTGGGGAGACGAACAGTGCTCCCAGCGGGAGCAAAGCTGGGCAAGCCCCGGTAATAAGCTCCTCTTGTGTACACGACGCACCAAAGCCCGGCGACTTGTTCGAGGCAATGAGCATGCATTTTAAGGTGTCGTGGGGAAATCTGACGTTTGTCGCAGAAGTAGATTCGATTATGAGGTGATCAAATAGAAGTGCCTCGCAAGTCTGCCACGACTCATGAGCCAATTCGAGCTGCAGACTCTTCGTATCGTAATATTGATAATAAATTGAGCGAGCTGTGAGCTGCGGGAGGTGAAAAAAGTGAAAGATGGTCATGAGGTATCCGTTGACTGCATTGCGGAGGGGTTGTGGCTCCGAATACCAACATAGAAAGGTGCATCCCCATGTATTACTTTTTGGAGGGGTGAACGTTCCCAGTAACTGATGTGCAACGAGAGATTTGATGTGTTGCGGTGTTAAAGTTTCGACGGAGTGTGATGGGCTGAGAGTAAACATTTCGTGCTCCGGGAACAAGGTGGGCAGCGCGAGAGCATGTTCCAGAATTTCATTCAGAATTGTTTGTGGAGTATCCTCCAACGGATCGGGATAGTGGGAGAGTACAAAATGACGCAGGAATGAGGTATCGACATTTCCGTTTCCGTGAATAGAGTAGGCAAGATCTTCAATTAAATTGGGAAGCTGCAACAGCGTGGATCTGGGACGGAAAGACGATATGCTGGAGGATATCACTTCCCATACAGTTGGAATTTCAGAATCAGTGATGCCGAGGGGGTCAATGGATGTCAAAGATGGATGAGAGGGCAGGGTATACGATGCAGCCATGAGAGTTGGTGGAAGAGATTGTACACGTAAGCAGTCTATACGCGTAACGACCCGCCCTAAACCTCATTATCAGTGCCCTGAATGGTTGATCTTCTCTCATACCTTGTGCTTACCCATAATGTCAGGTTTCGACGCGAACAACGTGTACACGGTATCCATCCACGATCCTCCTTCAGCAACCTCGCCAGAGTCTCCCTCGGAAACAGAGAAACTTCTCTTCGAATTTCTTCTCCAGTATCGCGTGGGAGGAGAATTCATCTATCGGTGAGCAATTCATCATACCACAACGCGCCAGTACTGAACTTCAACAGAGATAAACTACGAGGAAACCTTCTCCTGAAGCAACACATACTCGAAGTTGATCTACGACACGTCAGCTTATTCAACGATGAGCTTGCCCATGCCATCCAGGACAGACCTGCAGAGGTCCTGCCACTAGTTCGTCCCTCAAATTCACATAGCGTTGTTCACGCCAGCTAATGCTTCTAAAGTTTGAGAACGCAGCCACCAAGGCTGCCCGAACTATTCTCTTCCCTCTAGCTGGCGGCTCAGAAGATCGTACCGAAGCAGCGGCGGAAGCTATTCCCAAGGTCCAAGTTACGCTACGATCTGGACTCAACATGCTGCAATTTCGAGAACTCACCGCTGACACCATGAACAAACTTGTGCGCATACCGGGCATCGTAATTTCTGCTTCCGTCCTTTCGTCACGGGCCACCAAGTTACATTTGCAATGTCGCGCATGTCGTTCAACGAAGATCGTACACCCTGCGGGTGGGATGGGAGGTGTGGGAGGTGGTTCAGATAGAGGACTACCACGCTTTTGTGACGCGCCGGAACCAGATGGCCAGAAGAAAGACTGTCCTATCGATCCATACCTAATCATTCACTCGAAATCGACATTCGCCGATCAACAAACGTTGAAGCTACAAGAAGCACCTGACATGGTGCCTGTTGGAGAGCTCCCTCGACATATGCTCCTTTCCGCAGATCGATATTTGACTGGCAAGGTTGTACCAGGCTCAAGAATAGTAGCTACTGGGATCTACTCGACTTTCCAGTCATCCAAAAATGTATGTGCTCAGAGACAGTTTTCTACGTCCGCTGATGTACTTGGCAGAAAAATGCTGGTCCTGCTGCGCTCCGCCAACCGTATCTCCGGGTCATTCACCTGGAGCTGTCCTCTCCTTCCGCATCTGGTGCGGGTTCGAATCCCTTTGGTGTCCAATTCACACCTGAAGAGGAAGAAGAGTTCGGCGAGATGGCGAGGAGTGAAGGCTTCTATGAATTATTTGCGAAGAGTGTCGCTCCCAGTATTTATGGCAGCCTCGGTGAGTTGCCAAGTCTTCCAAACATTGTCTGTATACTAATGCGAGCTTGAAGATATCAAAAAGGCCATAACATGTTTACTTTTCGGTGGCTCAAAGAAAATTCTGCCCGATGGGATGAGGTTGCGTGGAGATATAAATGTCTTATTGCTTGGTGACCCAGGAACAGCGAAGAGTCAATTGCTCAAGTTCGTTGAAAAGGTAAGCAACGCGATCTCGTATATGGGTTCGTGTTCTAACTATTACCGGAGGTGGCTCCGATTGCCGTTTATACGTCAGGCAAAGGTTCAAGTGCAGCCGGTTTGACAGCTTCTGTCCAGCGCGACGCCATTTCGGTAAAGTCTTCCTCTTCACTATGACACATGCACACCCCTTCACAAGTGTTACTAGCGCGAATTTTATCTGGAAGGCGGAGCGATGGTTCTCGCTGATACTGGTGTTGTGTGCATCGACGAGTTCGACAAGATGCGAGACGAGGACAGAGTTGCCATCCATGAGGCGATGGAACAGCAAACTATCTCGATCGCCAAGGCTGGCATCACGACTGTTCTAAACTCTCGTACCAGTGTCCTCGCGGCGGCGAATCCTGTGTTTGGGCGTTATGACGAGGGCAGAAGTCCTGGAGAGGTATATATCTTGGCTTCCACTATCAGAGCATGAGCTGACACTGCTCAGAACATCGACTTTCAAACGACCATTTTGTCTCGGTTTGACATGATTTTTATTGTCAAGGATGAGCATAACGAAGTACGGGATAAGGTACGCTGCAGTTGTACAGGGTTGTCGATGGCTGCATGACCAGGAGTCCTACAGATGATTGCACAACATGTCATGAACATTCATATGAACCGACCAAACCAAAGTACTGACGAGAATGGGGACAATGTTGGTGAACTTGGTCTAGATAAGATGAAGAGGTACATCTCGTATTGCAAGAGGTAATTCTTGAAACTTCACACGCGGCGCGGGATTACTGACTATAAGATTAGCAAATGTGCACCTCGCCTTTCATCAAATGCTCAGGAGATGCTGAGTAGCCACTTTGTCAGTTTGCGCCAGCAAGTCCAACAGGTTGAGCGTGATAACGATGAGAGGAGCTCAATCCCCATTACCGTTCGGTGCGCGATATTCCTATCACCCCAGGTTTCATCTGCTGAAAAGTGACTCTCACCTTAGGCAACTCGAGGCTATCATTCGGATATCAGAATCACTCGCAAAGATGACACTCTCTGCAGTCGTTAAAAACCATCATGTCGAGGAAGCCATCCGACTATTCAAGTTCTCGACAATGGACGCCGTGTCCGCGGGCTCTGCCGATGGTTTATCCCGTGGAGAACTGAATGAGGAGATGACAAGAATAGAGCGGGAACTCCGGAGACGGCTGCCTGTCGGGTGGAGCACGAGCTACCAAAGTCTTGTGAGAGAGTTTGTCACACAGCAGGGATTCTCAAGTCATGCGCTTGAGCGAACACTATTCATTATGGAGAAGAGGGAGATTATCCGGTTTTCGGGCCAGGTTCGTTTCACACTGTTTCTATTAAGACAAATTGGACAAACTGATATTCATCGAACGGCAGAAAAAAGTCGTGCATAGGTGTGTAATCGCTTCTAAATGTCATTACTGGTCGGGTGCTGGACGTGCTTTTTGGCTTTTTAGGGTGGGCGTCTAATCTTTGTCTAATATTCGTTGCGTCTCTTCGGCTTGATTACTGTAGAACTTGCTGTCGATGTACTTGTTGTTGTATCAATATAAATTTCCTCGTCCTCAACGGACTCCCCGTCGTAGTTTCTGCAAAATAATGTGTAATATCGCCCGCCTAGCTCAATTGGCTAGAGCGTCAGACTTTTACGGAAGGTCGGGTGACTGATCACTGTGATCTGAAGGCTGCGAGTTCGACCCTCGCGGTGGGCTACGTTATCAACTTTTTGGCGTCGTCCAAGCTGGCTGAGTCATCTCCTGGTCTCCGGGACTCTCGGCCAACCAATCAATATTCAATGGTCATACCATATACGGTAGTACCTAATACCTAGACTCGAACCAATCGTCGACGTCTTGATAGTGATCGCGATGTTTAATCTGAGGGAGAGAGCGCGATGTCGAATCAGAAAAATTGGGAGTTCTGTTTTTGGATTGTGTGAGGACCCAGGAGGATTTTTATGGTGATGATTACAGGCCAACAGTGTTCCATATCCGTAGCGGCTGGTGTCGAGCCTACCTAATACCGCTCGATTGCGATAATCACATCGTACGCGTCTTTCCGGCGCCACGTAGTCCGTCGGCCATGGGTTGGAACTTGAGACCGAGGACGAGGGCTGGGCGCTCATATATATCATATGTCAACCTTCGGCGGCCGAAAAAAGAATAGATACCTAAGATCCAAAACGTAAGTAGCCCACCGCGAGGGTCGAACTCGCAGCCTTCAGATCACCGAGGTAAGTGATGTAACCCGCCTTAAGAGTCTGACGCTCTATCCGATTGAGCTAGGCGGGCCGTATTTACCAAATTGGTGCGGTAGTCGTCATCGATGCCGCCGATCCTCAGATCAGAAGTTGAAACTGGGGTGGTTCAGTTCGTCCTTGCTCGACGGAGATGTCAACTGTTGCATCAAACCTCAGACGCCTAGACACCCGAGTTGGTGTGAAGAAGACAAGGTGAGATCGAAGAGAGTCGCGAATGTCATTTGCAGCAGCGCAAGGAGTTCTTGGATCGGGACCCACAGTGGCATGGGTTTGCGATCGTTGGATACACGTTGGAGGTGACGAGGACCACGAAGTATGCATACGGAAACAGATCGATACAAGGTCAGGCTGTCGGAGAGAGATGGCCATGCTGGGAGGCGGTGCAGGTATCCATGCGGCAGGAGTAATGTCGCTTACGCGTCCAAGGAGCATTACGTAAAATGCGCAGCACGGCTATATGGGAGTCTGAGATTGGACTCACAGCTTTTGCTTTCAACCTCCATCTCCACTGACTCCTCCTATTAAAGACCCGTCCGCAGCCATTCAGCGCAATGTTTGACCAGTCACACTCCTCGCAGTATCCTGCCCTCTTTGACATTTACAACGACCGCAAGCAGCAAGCTTACGGCCTTGATTTCTCGTCGTTTCACTCACCAGCCGACCTTGCAGCCCCTTCTATCGACTGCTTTGAATACGAACTTGATCAGCTTGATCTCCTCGAGCTTGAGGTTACCCAAGTGAACAGCGCGTTCTCCCAGATCATTCCTACTTGCGGCCCACCTTCTTCTATAACTCTTTCCTCCGAATCCTCTGCCCAAGACACCTTGTCTTTCTACTCTGAGCCATTCCACTCGCCTCAGACCGACTACTCCTTCTCCCTCGACGAGATGGACTTTCAACGCATCCGCGTCGACGACTTCAGCAGCGCGTCGCCCCTTTCAGTCTTGGATGGTACTTCGGACCCCACTTCGTTCGGGCCACTGCCACCTACTCCGCCTCGCAGTCCGCCTGCGAAAGCTTTCGAGAAGCCCTACATCTCAAGAACCAGCTTCTCTGACTACGGCCCCCCTTCCAAACGCAATTCCATATCGTCGGACTTCTACAGCCAGCTGGGGTTTGACCCCCGGCTTGCGCAGTCGACTATCTCTCCGTCGCACATCTCATCCGTTGCGCCGTCCACTCCGCGCATGAGCGAGGAGCTTCTCAACAAATGTGACCCCCGTAAGAAGTACAAATGTACTGCCTGTCCTCGAGGTATGTTTATCCACATATATTTAGAAACCGATGTTGATTTCCTTGGCAGCCTTCGCTCGAGCCTACAACTTGAAGACGCACATGGCGACGCATGACCCGAACAGGCTCAAGCCCCATGTTTGCTCTCACCCATCGTGTGGTCGTTCCTTCAGCCGCAAGCATGATTTAGGTCGTCATCTCGTCAGCATCCATCGTGACGATTCGGACGTCACCTCACACCACTCTGGGTCGTCCAAAGTGTCCATTGGCGTGGAGAAGGGCCCACGAGGATGGTGCGACTCTTGCGGCAAGGGCTACGTTGGCAAGGCCGGCGCATGCGATTGCCATGACGTCAAGTGACAATGATACTCCACTAATCAGCTGCTTAGAATTTTTCTCCTGTGTAAGTGTTTTTTTCTTGTCCTTATTGTTTTTCCGCATCTCTAATCTTTTCTTTCAGGCAACGCACAACTCTCGCCCGGCTCCTCAGTAACTTCCGTCACATGTGGCCCTCATGCATTTCCGACACCTTGGAACCTCTGTCACGCCGGGCATCTTTCGATGTATCTCGTTCCGTACCGCCTTGTCTTATGTATACTTGGCCCAGCGACGGACGTGATCTCGCTCAGAATATCCGTCTTTACCTACTTTTCATACTTCCATGGCTGCGTTATTCTCTGTCCTACTTACGACCCCTTATCTACCCGTCTTCAGTCGACTGGACATTTTTTTTTCTATTGCTCTTGTCATTGCGTGGAATAGTTACCCCTCCATTGCCACCCGTTTCCTTCTGTATATCCCTCCTACTCACTAGCTCTGACGTCTGGACACTCGTCTCGTCCTCTGCTAAATCTAAATGAAACCATCTCTGCTATATTATAACCTACAACAATGTTCTCGGACAATTTATATAAATCAGATAAATATATCTGGTTCTTCACTCTTTTGCCTCCGGATCCCTCTTCCCAAGCATGACAATGGCGTACATGTTGGCCACCAGCACCACGCACCAGATACCGTACGCAACACAAGAAAGAATACGGCCATTGCTGAAGTCGATTGTCTCGTGGAGAATAATGGAGGACGTCTCGACCTTCTCTGCCAATGGCTTATCTCCCAAGCTTGGTGCTTCCTCAACCTGATGAATGGACGCCTCGTCTGTTTCCACGAGCTGTCGGATGGGCTTTCGAACGCGCATCACAACTTCAGAAGAGGTGAGGTAGATGAGGGGGAAAGCGATGAAGGGCAGAACAACGGAGAGCGCTACTTGGGAAGCAACCAGTAGTGTGTTAATGCCTTCTCGTCCGACGGCTACAGCTACAACGACCGACGGGATGAGGCTTATAAGCCTCGTTATAAGTCGACGTAAGAAGGGCTAGAGATTCTGTCAGGTAATGAAGGCGTAAGAAGTAGCACACCCATGCATACCGAGACTCTCCATTCGATAAACCCTTCAGACACAATTTGCCCAGCAAGTGTAGCGGTTATGCTCGACGTCTGTCCGGCGCACACAAGTGCCAGGGCGAACACGAAGGCTGCGCCTATTGATAGGTCAACGTGAGCAGATAAATACAGGCTAGGGAGGAATCATATGGGTATACCTGTTCCTACTTTCGCCGTGATAAGATCATGTGCTTCGAACAGCCCAGCAGGACCCCTAGAACTTTCCTCCGCTTCAACCTCAGGCCTCGAAAAGAACACGGTTGCGGCAAGGATAAGTATTCTTTCAGTATGAGCACCGCGTCAATGAGGATCGCAATATAGTTTGGGGAAATCCACTGACGCAGAATTGATTGGGACAGCCAAGCCCAAGAGACTGGTGATGACGTCGACAATGCCATGGGCCAGGTGCTGCCGGATGAACGTGAGGGAGTTGTTCTCGCGCTCGCCATACCTGGTGCGGTAGTCCTTCGAGGCTGCAACTCGTTCCGCTCGGGTGACTCGAAACAGTGGAGCAAAAATCGCGCGCACTCGCGACTGCAGGGTGCGTGGGACGGTAGGTCCAGGGAGGCTGGGGGCCTCGGGTAGGGCAAGTGAAACACGATCTTGCGTGGCGAGCGATGATCCTAGGAAGAGTGCATGTGGCATGACGGTGGCGCCTAGGATACCAACAGCTATGCAATCAAATTACATTAGTATTGCCGAGACGGAGAACTGTAATTCCGGGTAGCATTACCAGAATAAACCGCATCTGGTTCTGATTGAAAGAGGCCTTTCGATGGGAGATATCCGAGGAAAACATCAGGCCAGTATGGCTTTACCTTAACGAGAAGCACAATAAAGCAAGCCAAGACAGCGAAGACCTTGGGCGTGTCAAAGGTTGATACAGAAAATATACGAAAATGGCGAGACTGACAAGGGCTATGACGATGAATTCGAAGACCCTGACAGGGCGACCTTGTCCCCGAGAAGGGTCAGCGAACGCCAAAAATACGAGCACATCTGCGGCGGTTAGGACGACGCCCGCCCATAGCGGCAGCTTGGGAAAGATGAGGCAGAGACCGATAGCAGAGCCCAGCAGTTCCGCCAAGTCTGTAGAAATGATGGCAATCTCAGAAAGCACGTAGAGGGGATATAGCACTGCATATCGAACGAGACGAGGATGCTTCGGTCTGTCGTGCAGGAGGAGGCGACAATGAGACGCGAGATCTGTTTCTATGGTAAGTTGAGCACTTGGATAACGTCAGTCGTAAAGGTTCACCGAGGCCTGTCACACAGCCAAGTTTGCAGGCCAAAGTCTTTAAATTTGTGGTTGTCAGGTAAAGCCCGATGTGACCTCGGGTCTCGAAGCTTACCTGGAGGACCATGGCACCCAGACCAGCCATCAGCAGCACGAACAGCATAGGTCTGTATCCAAAGTTGGAACCAGCCTGAAGATCAACGCTCCAGTTTCCTCTGGATTGTCCTCGTGAGACCTTAGCATGTTTAGCGAGGTAAAGAGGATCGTACGGGTCGAAATATGCGACTGCGCAGACTATACCGACGCCTACATGTTTTCTCACATGGTCAACCACGGTCCAATAGGCAGTGGTAGCGATGAGCTGCACTCTAGCAAGCGGAGACCGGGGGGGAAGCAGGGCAGACATTGCTGCTGGGAGGGACTAGGGGAGGGCCGGAGGGGATTGGGACAGCGCAGAAAGAGCTCGTCTCATAATGGATGGCGACGAACCCAACATAGCGGTAGAAACAGGGGACTGGCATAGGGAAACTTCCCGTGCGAACGCATCGACTGAACGGCGAAGTGGGAAACCATGTTGACCATGTTGGGAACTTTCTAACTGTTGCAACTCAGCCTCAGCACCCTTCCGGTGCACCCTTCCGGTTGCCGAACATTTCCTCTTCTCCTCCTTGTCTCGATCCCAGATGGACATAAATGATTTGCACCCCCCAGACGACTACAGTCACCGATTTTTCATCTGGCATGAATGGATCCAGGTTCGCTCCCAATGTAAATTATCCATGTAGACCGCTGATTCGGATCACAGGCCAATGGACCGCTGACGACAGAGAATGTTTTTGACTACTTTGCCACCTCTATGTTCTACGATAAGCAGAGCAACAATCAGGTCCTGCGCATGCAGACTATACACTCGGGCCTGCCTATCGAAAATGAGGCGGAAGAACTGAAGTATACTCAAACAGCATGGTCCTAGATTCACGGCTTATATATAGAACAAACTTAGGCGATTTACTGGTGTCGAGTTTGCGGTGGTCCATGCCCAGCCGCCTTCTATGTTCATCATTCAGAAAAGGGAGAGACTGTCGCCTGACGAAGGTTCGCATATTCAAATGTAGCGT